TTTGAACTGGTTGTAGAAACACCAGCAGCTTTACTGAATTATCTCATTGGTTCTGATAGTTTATCAGTTGACTCTTTTGTATTTTCCAAATAAGAGACATTTTATATATTCCTTTCAAATTTTTATAGCTTCCTTGTTCTTTTTTTCTTTTTTTGGGGTGGTGGTGGTATAATTACAGTGGCTTGGAGAGGCACTATAATGCTGAATACTATTGGCGACAGGAGAAGTACTAGTCTTAGTCCTGCCTTAACTGGGTATCTTTAGGAAGCTTCGTCATTAAGAATAATGTTTGCTGGAGGTGCAGAAACTTTTTAACAGATGAAGAAAGTTCTGCCCATGGTGGTATGAGGTATTTTTTAAAATCATGGATGACATATAATTTCATTACCTGACATTTTGGGGGCATTGATTGGCAGCATCATGTATTTTCCCCTTCTGTTTATAGGATATTAGGTTGAACCACATGCATGAAATTGCCAATATTCAATCCGTTCTGACCTACAAAAATGGCAATTTCATAGGGTTTGTCCAATAAATAACATCATGAGCTTTCCTAATGACACATCCTCACATTCCTGGAATCAATCCCTCTTAGCCAGTTTTGTCTTAATACCCAGGCAGATTCAATATATTGCATTTAGGAGTTTTAGACCTCTGGTCAAGGTGAGGCTGGCTTAATGGTTTCTGTTCTTACGCTGCCCTTATCCAGCTTGATGCCAGTGTTTCCCCTTGTTCCTCATTTAAATAAAATGAGTTGGGAGATGGATCCCGATGTTTTCCTTTTCTGAGAGAGTTTGGTTATTTCAGGGGCTAATTGCTCCTTGAAGTTGTCAGCTGCAAAATGGTCTAGGCCCGGGGCCTTTGAGGAAGATAAGGGGGAATTCCGATTTATTGGTTTATTCATATTTTTTTCTTGATGTTAGTACTTTTATCTGTAAAAAATTCCATTTCATCTAAGCTTTCAGATAGATTGGCCTATAGTGTCCCCAAATATTTTCTTATTATTTTCATAAGCTCTACTATATCTATGACTCTGTTCCTTCTTCCATCCTTAATATTGTCTATTTGTGACTTCTTCATTCCTTGATGTGTCCTGCCAGGTTGTCTATTGCGTTCAAGTTTTCAGAGAAACAGGTGGTTTTGTTGATAACTGCTATTTTTTATTTTTTAGTCACTTCGCCTTTATCTTTAAAAGCACTTTTCTCCTGTTTTCTTTCGATTTATTCTGTTACGCTATTCAAGCCGCCTAAACCCTGACTTATTTTTAACCCAGGTGATATGCCAGAGAGTGAGAGAGGTCTATTAAAATCTCCCGTGGTGACTGTAACTTTATTAAAATTTTCTACATTTCTGCAGTTTTAGTTAATTTATTCACGCTATGTTATTTGGCACATAAAGTTTTACTGTGGATTGGCTGTACATTGTATTAATATAAAAGAATCTTCCTTTTCATTTCCTTATGAGATGTGGAAGAGTCCCTCTAATTTATCTTATAATAAACTAATTTCATTTTTCTGCGGTTCGCCGTCTTCCGTTCATTGCCTCCGCTCCACTTTTAATTGGGAGATCATGTTTTTCATCTCCATTCAATCTTTCCTCATCTCAGATTGCTCTGTTTTCATTATTGCCTGTTTTTGTGCCATCAATATAATATTCCCTCAAATCTTGTTAAGAATACAAATTAGGAGCTGTAAAGTTTTGTTTTCTCCTTTGTTGCTTAGAGGGGCAATTAGCTCTGGCTGCTCAGACAGGTCCCCTCCTCCGGCCCCCTGAACGTTCACACACACCCGGTGATTTTCCTGCCGGGCGCCGCTGCAGAGGGGGGCCGGGGTGCAGCAGTCTGGGGGTGAGCAGGAGAGTTGGCCTCGCGTGTGTGCCTGAGTGTGTGTGTGAGACACAGGGAGGGGGGAGAGAGAGCGATGCAGTGGCAGCCTCCTCTCTAATGAGCCTGACCACTCTCCTGAGGTACCAGCGCGGCACTGCTCTGCTGTATCTGGCTTGTCAACAAAAGACAAATGACAAACGCCGAACAAAACAGATCCAGAGACATGGAAGCACGGACAGACTAACGGAGCGCAGAGCGAAGGGGGCAGGGGGAGGGTAACCTAAGGACTGAGACGCGTATATGCAGAGCCCAGGGACACAGACAGCGCGGTGGAAGCTGGGGTGCCGAGAGCCGGGGGGGGGCATCTGTGATACTCTCAACGATAAAAATAAATTAAAAGAAAAGACAAATGAAATGCAGAATGTCACGCTGAGAGGGAATTGGCTCTGTACCGTCTCTCAGACCTAGTGAACTTCCAGAGGAGCTGGTGGGACTGACATCCAGTCCCTGCCCACAGTCCTGTGGTGTCCTCTAAGCCAGGGGGCCCCTGCCCACAGTCGTGGGGTGTCCCCTAAGCTAGGGGGCCTTCGACGCGTTTTTCCTTGCGGTTCCTCACTCTAGTCCACGGGCGGATTGCACGCCGCTTGTGTGAACCGGCGTGTGACCGGGCCCTGTCTCGGTGCGGGCCCGTTTCTGGGAACTCCTTCAAGCTGCGTGCGAAGGCCCCCTGCCTAACCGCCGGCGCTGGGCCCGTCCCCGCAGCCGCCTCAGCTGTGCACCTGCCTCGCTGGCTCAGGCGCCCAGCGTCGTCCCGCACGACTGCATTTAGAGGGCCTTCCTGTCTGGCCGATGTCAGGGGCCAAAACAAAAGGAATCTGGCGGTGCTGGGAGACAGCTAGAGTGTGTGTGGGGGCAAGGTTTATGGCATTTATAGTTTTCAAAAGTAAGGAACAGATCAGGGGTCACAAATGCAAGAAAACAGTCATTTCATGGGTGAGAAACAGACTATGTAGACGCTTTGGAGGGTTGGTCAGAAACACCAAGTACCGCATCTTGGGCAGCACACAGGTGGGAGGAGGTGTCAGGTCTCCTTGGTCAGGAATTCAGGGCTGCATTGGGGCTTCTTTGGAGGGACAGGCAAGACCTCGGGGCTAGGAACAAGCCGGTGTTCTGGTAGATGGGCCAATGACATCAAGGCAAAGGCAAGATGCTCTTGGAGGTGACTGGTGCTCTGGGCTCCTTCTGCACACATTTGTGCCGAGGTCCCAGAGTGACAGGTTCAAACAGAAGTCCTGCTCCAGCTCACGGGGCTGCTGGGCGGCTCAGAATCCTATTTGGGAAACTAGAACTAAGAGTTTCTTCTACTTCCAGAACAGTTCTGTACCTACTCATGTCCCAGGTTCTCCTGAGGTGCTCAGATGTTGAAAAGCTTCAGAAGCCAAAGATAGGACCCCAGTCCCCACTGGGCCATTTTGCCACAATCTGTTCTATTTCAGGCATACCCAGTCCCAAAGGATCAACTTCTGGGTACATCCACTTGGGTTCAAGGATAATTACGTAACAGTGAGAAACACCTTCCAAGCACACACACACATACCCCCTCCTCCTCCAGAGGGTGGGTCAGGAGTATCATCTGTGCATGAAAAGAACAGTACACTCCTCACAGCTAGTTAGAATCCTAAGGGATGGGCACTATTTCATGGTTTCTCTTTGGATTTTCCAGAGTAGTAACCTCTCGGTGCTTCTGATGTCAGGCCTTCTCTGGCTACAGGGAATAAAACCGTATTAGAATAAGCAAAAAAAATGTATTGCCCTAGGATGAAAATGGAGACTCTGTGAGATTTTTCTAATAACCCACTTTAATTAAGGCAGTTCTTTGATAAATTCTCCAGTCAACTCTTTGATTACACACACCCACACACCACACATTATTGGAGATATGTTCTTAATCACACATACAGACACACAAATACAAGCCATGCGTATGCTCAGAGTCTTAACAATTTCATCTCTATGACCCAAGTCCTATCATTTCTTTCTTTTACATGTATCTTAAATCTATTTCCTTTAACCCCACTGCCATCATCATGACACACCAAAGCTACTGAAATAGCCTACTCGTGAACCAAACATATACTCAAAGCATACACAAGTGCATGTATACACACACACACAAATACACTGGGACAAGTATGCACAGACACAGATCCCTCAAACCCAATAAATACATAGACACAGATTCACACGCATGTGGAAACATATGCATAAATGTATTTATATCCACTAACATCTCTACTCTAGTGCACACACATACACATATTCTACGAGCGCTTCATTATCTGGGTTGATGGTCAGAGTTCACAGAGGAAAACACGACCCATTGGCACCTCCAACTGAGTTTATCAATATTCTTGTTACGCGGTCGGCCATAAGCAATCACGTGTGCCCTCGAGAGCAGTCAGCTGCTGAGCAAACCGTAAAGGCACGCTCTGGGGTACTCATATCCCCCTTCTCTTTCGCCTCTCATTTTCTCCCAGGTGAGGGAGGATAATATCTTGGCACTCAGGAGGGAAGAAAAGTTTGGATCATTCACACAGAGATAGGTGAGTGCTGACCACCCTTTTGCGTACGGTGTATAACATACATGCTCGGAAACCTATCAGGGTTACCTTGAGGACATCCCCTTCAGAGAGCTCAAATGCCCGGGCTTTAAGCTGAATGCCCTTCCCCGGCTGTGTCTGGATGGAGTAGATGCATTCGTGGTTGTTATTGTAGCTCGCAGGAAAGTTGGGGGAGAGCAGCGTGCCCTGCGTGCCCGTGACTGAATTCCCACACTCGGCTGCAAAGAGAATCACAATAATCACAGATTAACTCCCATCGGCGACATCCCCCAAACAACTCACAGCGCCGGAGAACCTTACAAAGACGACAAGCTGTTTGCCTCTCTGCCTGCCAAAACGCCTATTTATCTGTCCATTTGCCTGCTTATCAAGGCTTTTTCCTTTTAACACCTGCCCACCTACAATCCTGCTTGGCTTCTCTCTCTCTCCCATTCTGTTTGTCTGTCTCTGCAGAAGCAGCACCAAGCCCGCCGAATACCCTTTGCTTCCACAGCGTAGGGAAGCAGCCGCCCCACACCTGGCCAAGTATCATAGCAACAGGAGGGCCAGGAGGGTGGTGGCAGCCAAGTGAGGAGAGATGAGGCCTTTCTGTACTGGAGGGGAACTGAGAGAGAGAGGACACGATCAGATATGACTGCCAGCGTCTCCTGAGCTTCCCAAGGATCACTTCGGTGATTAGCCACCACAAGCAACCCCACAAGGTAGGCACCATGAGCATCCCTGTTTAAAAGACCAAGAACCTGGTGCTTTGCAATTTAGATCTACTCTCTGGATTCATGGAGAGGCGGGGGCTGAGGGCTCAACCCTGTTGGTTCTGGAATTTAGGGCCCCTGAGGCTCTGGGGAAAGTTGCAGCACTGACCCACTGGAACAGTTTCTTTCAAAGGGCTAATGAGTTCACACCCTCTTCTCAAAAACCTGTCTCTTCTCCTCCAGAATCAGTCATTATTTCCGCATTGTTCCCATAACTTTCTTTATAGCAGTTATTACATTTTACTTGACTTATTTCTATCTCCTCCACCGCACTGAGGATCTTTCAGGGCTGGGTCATAGCGCTAGATCACCAGTGCCCACTCAGTGCCTGGGCAGGGTGGCCATCAGTGGACAAAAGGGAAAGGGGAGGTAGCTGGAGAACCCTGCAGCCAGCTTCCCAGGGGCTTTAATAATTGTGAAGTCTCTCCCTGTTCTTCCCCCATCACAGCATCTACAATACTGCACCCTTGTTGCTTATTACTGGTCTAGATCTCCCACCCAGACTGCAAGTTACTTGAGCGCCAGGGTCATGCTCAATGAATCCATGATTTTCTAAGGCTCAGCCCAGATAATCTATAAAATAAATATTTGCCAAATGAATGAATGAAGGAATATGGAGTACACAGACCTCAGAAGATGTACAGTCCTAAAAATAATTAGGTTCGGAGGGATATTAAAATATGACTCCAGATGGCAGGTCTGTTTCTTGTCTGGACATATGGATAATTTGGAGAATTTGTTGAATCGTTGAAGCTGGTATAGCAAGTAAGCAGGCTTCCTCTGAATCACCCCCTGGTGTCCCTTTCCTAGGCATAATCCTTGGCAGGAAGCACCCTGAGGTCAACCAATGGGCTACTGATTTGACCATATATTCAATGGAATATGACTCTAAGCCTGGAGCTCTAGGCCAAGGCAATGGAGATGGAGCATGTGATGCAGGAACATTCAGAGCTGAGCCTCTCCCAGGCTTAGTTACACCCTGTATGTTCTCTGGTCCTGAAGGCTGCTTCTTAAACTCTTGAAGACAGTGACCATGTCCTACCATGAAGTCCCAACTTTTCCAATGGGCCCTTCCCCCTGGGCTCTTTCCAGTTCAGGACCAGCTTCAGTCTCCTAAGACTTTACGTAAGTCATTACTGTGGACTGAACATTTTTGTTTCACCCCAGATCCATATGTTGAAGCCCTAATCCCCAGTGTTTGACCGTTGAGAGGTAATTAGGTTTAGATGAGGTCTTGATGGTAGGGCCCTCAGGATGGGATAAATGTCCTCAGAGGCAGAGGGAGAGTCCAGCGCCATGTGAGGATACAACAAGAAGGCTGCCATCTGCAGACCCAGAAGCAGGCTCTCACCAGGCACTGGATAAGCCAGCACCTTGACCTTGGACTTTCCAGCCTCCAGAACTGTGAGAAATAAATGCTTTTTTAAGCTATCCAATCTACAGTATTTTCTTAGAATAGCCCAAACACACTGAGACAGCCATTGTGTGTGTGGGAGGAGAAATCTAGCTTCCCAGTACTCTAAATTCAGCAACTGGACCAAATGTGCATGATGACTGTGTGAGCTGGGGCATAAAACTAGGTGGACAGAGGTGGACAGGTACCCTGGGGACTGCTGACAATGAAGGCAGATATGCTTTAGAGTGTGTAAATGTTCTGGGTGCCTTCAGATGTTGGTGGGGATTTGGGGAGGGAGTGATGAGGGCTATGCACATTCAGACATTTATCACTGAGCCACATCCCATGGGTGGCTCTCCATCACCTCTGGGGACACAACCCAGTTACCTCCATCTAGGGAGAGGCATGTGGTACAGTGAGGTTAGCATGGAGTTTGGAGGCAGACAGACAACTTATATCAACTCTCTAAACTTCAGCCTTTTCATCTGCCTTCATCTGAATAATAATAGTAATTAATAATACCATCCTCATAAGACTACTAGAAAATAAATGCATGAGATTTGATGACAAAGCAGGTGAGCATGTGGGGAGTGGTTAGGCCCTCAACAAGTGTTATTCCTTTTCTTTCCTCATTGATCCCAAGTGAATCTATGCACCTTACCTGCTTCCACTGGAGGCCTGACTGCCCGAGCTCTGGGACAGGCTGAAACCCCAAGACATTTCTTGGGAAGCAGGTGTTAGCTGCCTGACGTTCACAGCGCCCTCCCTGTTTCCGATGCCTCTTGCCTTCCATCTAGTTCCTAAAAGTTGGCTTCCCTTAAACATGGGCTTTGGCAAATTACTGGATCCCCTTCCTGCCCCTGGTTTCCAGCACAATAGCTATAGGCCCATTTCTGCCAGCAAACCCCTCTCCTCCTCTCCACATGCCCAACACCTTTATAAGGAGGGAAACAGAGTTGAGAGCTTTAGATAGGGCCAGCCACCAGGGCCTGATCCCCTTTCAGGGCCTTGCCCTGGGCACCAGGGAGGGACATGGCACGTGCTTCTGGGAGTTTCCAAAGTAACAGGGGAGGTGATTGTGCAGATGCATTGAGAAGCCAAACACGAGCATAAGTGGAAACATGTAAATAAATGTTCTACAGAAACAAACAGTCACATGCCCGGGAAGTGCTGCTGCTGGTTCAGGCATCCGTGACTCCTGTTGGCCTGTCAGAAGAGGGCTTGCTGAGGGCGGGGGCTGTGTCTTATCCATCAGCCTGTGGCTCATGAGGCAGGGGGTTAGGTCTTCTCAATCACAAGGGGGCTCCCAGGGACAGGGCCATGCTCTCTGCGGCAGACTGGGGCCTCTGGGGTCCGGACTGTCGCTTCCACATCAAGCTCAGGGGTCCCCGAGGTCGGGGCTGTGTCACCCCATTACACCATGAATTAGAGCTCAGGGCTGCTCATTTCTTTCTCAGCTGGGGATGTTCCTGGAACTCTGTGTGGCTAAGTCATTCAATTTACACCCACAGTGCACGTGGCGGCTAGGAGCCTCCCCCAGCAGGCATTCCCCTGAGATCTCCAGCCTGAGGTTCTGCGGCAGAGCTGGTGGTTCTAAGAGGTGATTGTAATTGCTGGGTATTAGTAATACCATGTGAAACAAGAAAAATACAATAATGAAAATACTGTGTCATGAACAAACAGTAATTGGAATAATAAGTTAAAGAATGAGTTTATGCAATGAGATCAAGGGCAAAGGCTTAAAGGAGTGTGTGCATTTGTGGTCCTGGATAATCCCATTCAAGCAAAACTCTCCCAGAACCACTTAGCTGAGAATATTTTCCCAGAGAAAAAAAGAGCTGCTAACAGCCAGATACAAACAGAACCTGCACAGGGGGACACGTGTGTGTCTGACTATCTGCCCGGGTTGGGGTGGGCAGATGCTCTGAGGGATGGCAGGAGAAAGGATAAACTCTGGGATTATTTAATTGGTCAAAAATAAAATTCTGCATCTGTTTGTATTACTGTTTCCTTTCTGAGATTATAAAAGGTTATTGGATATTGGTTATCAATAAGTAATGATAAAAAGGGTTATTGGTGAAATGATGATAATGATAGGGCACCTCGTGGCTTATGCAAATGATGTCATCTAATCTGGAATAAAGCTGGTGAGTTGGATACTGCTATCTCCAGCTGGGGCTGAGGCTTGGTGGCCTCACCAAGACCTGATAGCTGCTGAGAGGCAGAGCAGAGACTTGACCTTGAGCCTGAGCAGCCTGAGCCCAGTCCGTCTTGCCAGTCTTTTCACAGCTGTCTTCTGCAGAGCCCCAGGGCTCCATGGAGCTGTCTCTGGCAAGGCTGACCTCCTGGGCCCTCAAGACAATGACTGCGTTCTAGTCAGTGCAGTGTCGCTTTTATTTGTTTGACGTATTGGGGTTTTACGTACTATTTCACTTTAAGCACGAGTTCCATAGCTGATAGCCAGTGTGGTAAGCACTCCACTAACCGTGCCTGTGTGCCACCCAGCCCTGCGCTGTGAGTATTGAGCAAGCAGAGCCATCAACCTTATAAATGACGGACAGTCAGCAACTGTCCCTGGGATCACCCTGTTTCCCCACAACCTCCAGGCCCGGAGCTCTGGCAGGGAGGAGGGCAGGGCCTTGGGTCAGACTCCTGGTTCCGACTCTCTACTCTCATCATCTACTGTTCTCCCTGCTGCTTGCTCCAGACTGGCCTCTGAGCTGTCCCCTCAAGGCTCAGGGCCTTGCCACCCTGTTCTGTCTTCTCCCAGATAGCTGAGTGATTAGCTTCCTGAATCCCCTTCGATCTTCTAAAATGTCAGCTCATCAGGGAGGCCTCTGCTGACCACTCTTTTAAAAAGAACAACCTCCAGCACTTCCTAAGCTGACTTAACTTCTCTATAATCCTCAGAGCTGCCCGACGTACTACATAACTATGGGGTTATAGCTTATCTCCCCCACCAGGATGCGAGACCGTGAATGGAGAGGCTGCCTCTGTTTTGCTCACCTCTGCATTCCCAGCACCTAGAAGCCTGCCTGACATGCGTGGGTGGTCTGTAAATGAACCCAACTCTCGTCTCCTCTCTCCTCGCCAGCTGAATGGATGAAGTCTTTCTAGGGATTCTCAAAAGCAAGCACCTGCCTCAGACTATTACAAGCGCCCTCTACTCCACCAGACTGGCCTCTCCATGGGCAAAGGTCATAGCTCCTTCCTGTAGCCCGCCCCCCACCAGTGCTCTACCCAGGTTTCTCTGCTAGAGGCATCCTAGGCCTTGGGGATGTGCTAGGGGTGGGAGGCAGGGTACGGAAGCCAATTTCATTTGAGTGCCTTTTATGGGTCCACTTTACAAAGGGCAGGTAGGACTGCGGAACAGCCCACGAAGCAGGTGTTTCCAGCCCCATCCAGAGAGGGAGGCTGGAGCAGGAGGAGGTTAGGTCACCCCAGTCCCACTGCAGGTAACTGTGCTAAGGCAGGCGGTCCTCCAACCCAGGCCTGCTGGGCCCCCGGCCCGTGTGCGTTCCACCACCTCACGCCGATTGACTAAGGCTGGGCCCACCCCATTAGTGAAGCAAAATGAAAGCACGTGACCACCTACCAACACACCTTGGCAGAGGCGAGCTCCACAGGCGCCGTCTGCCCCCCAGGCACGTGATGCGGGCTGTGCCCTCCAGACGGTACCCGGGGAAGCAGGAGAAGGTCAAGGTGTCGCCTACACCAAACTGTAAGCCCTTCCGGATGCTGTAGGCGGGGACCTCGGGCTCCTCGCAGGGCTCCAAGTCGTACTCTGGAAGGGCAGCGGGAGAGCGGGGGTCAGAGACAGAAGACGAAAACGCCAGGCAGAGAAGATACAGAGATAAAGACAGATGGAGGCACAGAGCACGCACACACCGATCCGCAAAGGGCAAAGGGCAAAGAGGAGAGAGCCTGAGAGAAATAGAGGAGCAGGCCACGCGCCCTGTGCTCTGGGCGGCCCTGATGTCTCCCTGCCCTGAACAGGGGGTGGGAAGGGCACAGCGCTCTGGACACACGCTTCCCGGGAGTGTTTCTCAGGTGCCTCATGACTTGACCCTTTCCTCCTCTGCCCCTTCATCTCCTCATTAACTCCACGCTGCAGGGCTCGCAGACTCTCCTGCCTCTTTCCCCGAGGCACTGACCCAGATCGATCCAATCAGCCTGGTTCTAGAGGGTCAGAACGTATGACAGGCCAAGGCAAAGCTCCACATGGAGAAGAATCCAAATGCTCCACTCAACACTCTCAGTGATGCTGCCACTGAGGCAGATGACAAGTGTGACCAGGTGGCACTGATGGGCCAGCGACCTGCTGGGTGCCGCTAGCAACAGCAGAGATGTGACCATCCCTCGTTCCCAAGGGCATCTCCCTCTGGACACAGCTCTCAGAGGCTCTGTGTGCTGAGAAGGGGGGTCTGTCCCAGAGGGGTGAGGCACAGCGGCCGGATAGGTCTCATTGGGAGGCGGGCCCAGGCACTTGGCAGGTGGCTTCTGCTAGGGAACAGCAGGGGGCTAAGCTGGGCCATGTCCACTTCCTAGAGGTCAGATATCTCTTGCCCATCCTGGTGGAGTCCATCTGGTTATCTCTGCTTCTAGCTGGGAGGAGGGACTCTGGGGAACAATGGACAAGAGTGGCAAGGGGACTTGGTGCCAGAGGAGCGCAGGGTCCTCTTTTCTCCCTGAATGCTAAATTAAAGAGTTTTCTTTTCAGGATCCCTAAACACAGAGATAAATATCTATTACTGCTAAGTTAGCATCGATGACAAAGCCCCAAATAAGACTAAAATACTCTAGTATGTTAATTTCAACCCCCATCCTTCCTCTTCTCTTTTCTAAATTGCTGGGGTCGTCAACAGAAGGGGAATCAGAAGTATCTGGAATGACTAGGGCAGGAAGGGACTTCTGTGAACTCCTCTCCTTCAGCCAGTGGGTAGGTCATGTTCAAAGGGAAACCCAGACATCGTGAGAGAAGGGGACTCCCCAACATCTGCCAGCTCCTTCCAAGCGCATTACAGGGAAGTCCGTCCTGTGTCTAACCCAGCTATCTGCTGCTGCAGCACCGAGGTCATTCTCCCGGGGACTGGAGAGTGCAGCAATATCCATCTGCTGGGAACACCAGGGGCTGGCAGCAGAGGGAGGGACTGGGTACCCCTCCCCCAAGAGACCTCACAGGCTTTACCTGAGAAGGTGATGTTGAAGCCTTCATAGGACATGGAGAAGTCGGAAATGAAGCGGACCTGGGCGGTGAAGTTGCCATAGAGACCGGCGCTGATGGGGGCTGGCAGCCTCGAGCCGGTCAGCTGCCTCAGCGGCTGGGTGAAGCTGCCGTTCTCGGTGATCAGCAGGTAGTCGTGGCCGCTCTCCAGGTGGAAGGTGTGGAAAGTAAAGAACACACCTGCCGAGAGACCAGAGGGTCAGGGGGACGGCGGTGAGATGGCTGCAGCAGCCTGGCTGCAGCACCGGAGCTCCACAAACATTTCCAGCTTAGGAAGGTCTACAGGTGTGCAGGACGAGCGCGCACCGATGAACCCGTGCGGGTGAACCCGGATGAATGAACTGGGTGGCATCACTGCAACAGGTCTGGCCGGGGAGAAGTGCACTGCTTCACAGAGGTCAACATCTGAAAGGGAGACTTGCGGCTAGGTCTATGAGACTGCTTCATAGCCATTCATTCATTCATTCATTCATTCTCATTCATTCATTCAACATTTGCATGTTTGTTGAATGCTTCCTATGGGCTAGGGTCCAGGGCCAGGTAGGAGCAAGGGGATATATAAGACATTAAACAAATAGCTACAGTAGAGTGGTGACTGCTACAACGAACATAGATCAGCGTGCCTGGGGAGGGGTACCGAATGGGAAGCAGTCTGCAGCAGGAGGGGGGAGTGCAGGACAGCCTCCTAAGGAGCACACACTTCCTTTGGGTCTTAAAAGAACACAGAGGGTTAACCAGGTAGGAGGGGAAAGGGCAGCCAGGGCAGGTGTGTGTGAAGGAGCTGTGGATCCTGGGGCTCAGCAAACCGCGTGGTGTGGCCGGACACACTCAGCCGGAAAGATCTGGAAGAGGCTGGGAAGGCAGGCTGGGGCTATGCCGGATAGTTTTACAAAGGCAATGAGAAGCCAGAGTGGGTCATATTTTAGACTCAGCAAGATGTTGGTGGCTGTGAGGAAGACGAATCGGAGGCAGAGGCAGAGAGACAGTGAGAATGGTGGCCGCCGTGCACTGGGCAAGAGGGGCTGGGGAGAGGGGCCGAGAGCAGGAAAGGACACGAGACCTTGCGGAGGGAGAGTGGGGGGAATTATCAGCAAAGGAGGAATGAAAGGGTGAAGGGGCAGGATGGAGGCTTGGGGTAGAGGGGCACTAGGGCACAGGGAGGGGGGTGGTGAGGGGAAGAGAAAGTGAGGGCTGCACTGAGGGGAGGGGCCGAGGGCACTAAATGAAAACAATAACATTCGTTAATGTTTGAGCACTAAATATTTGGGTGTCACTGTCCTACCTGTTCTGTTACTCTGTAGTAGGCCCTATCTGTTGGAAGGGAAAATATGAAAACTCATTCAATCCTGCCAATAACCCTGGGACACGGGTACGATTATTCTTGTCTCCACTTTACACCCAAGGAAACTGAGGCACAAAAAGATACAGTCACTTGTCCAAGGTCACCCAGCCAGCAGGTGGTAGAGCAGGGATTTGAACTGAGGCCATCTGACTGCAGACTGTGCAATAAACTGCTCCACGACGCTGCTTCTCACACTATAGAAGGAGTCCAGGTGGTAAGAAGGGTCAGGCGGTGGAAAAGGTCACGAAGCAGCAGGATCTCAACACCCAGAGCAACTCCTGAGCCTGTCCAGATAGCAGTTGTGTTGGGTGTACACACGTGTAAACTGTGCCCACCCGCTAGTGTGTGTGCCCATGGGAGTGTATGCCGTGGAGGTGCTGGGGCAGGAACTCAGGTGGACCAGGGGTGGGTGCTGGGCCCACTTCCTATTCAGAGTCCACGAACCAGCAGCACAGGTGTCGCCTGGGAGCCTGTTAGAAATGCAGAGCCTCGGCCTCCCCACAGACCTTCCGAATCAGAATCTGCATGCTAACAAGATCCTGGGTGATTTGTAGGCATGTAAGAGTTTGAGAAATACTTCCCTAGATAATTACTGACACGTTTTTGATAAATGACGGTTGGATCCAAGCTCTTAATGTTAAAGCATTTTAGATGTTTTCATATTCTGGCCTCTCTGTTGGTAGAAGCCGGGGAGCTTGGCATATTTGGGATTCTACGGGTGGGGGTGGGGGAACGGAAGAGGTGGTGGGGCCAGGGATGCGGCTTGTAAATGGCCTGTGCCCAGGCAAACGGGATGCATCCATTTATCTATTTGTTCAAACAGATCCTAAGCACATACTAAGTGTCAGGTCTGTGCTAAGCACTGAGAAAAATCTGCCAGTCTAGTGGAGGAGACGGACCATCGATAGGGAGGATCCAGAGTGAGGCACGGGAAGAGTAAGCAGCGGTGTCGCGAGGGTTGGGAGGCTTCCCAGGGGCTGTAGTCCTTGACGTGACGGGTGTGAGCATACCTGGCGACCCACGGGTATGTGTGCTCGCAGGTATCCTGTCCTCCCGACACACAAACACGTGTGCAAATGAGAAAATGGTTCTCGGTTTACAGAGCTTGGGAACAGGCTCTGTGGATCTAGGCCCTCCCCCTTCCAGCCGGCTGGCAGGGCGGGTGGAGAGGGGGCCAGACCCAGCAACGGGGAGGCAGAGTTGGTTAAGACTTCGCCTTGCGCTCCGTACTTCGGAGGGGCAAACACAGCCCCTCCGAGCAGGAGACATTTGGCTGGGATTCTAAGGGTGAGGAAACAACTGAGACGAAACCCCTGGGTTTCCCAGCTGTGCTGACTGCGTGGGGCTCTTCTGGCCAATGTGAGAAAATGAAGACATTGTGACAGACAGAGAGGCCCCAGGTTGGGGTCTGTATCCAGATTTGGGGTGACAGGCGCACACATACACGAATACTGCACTGGAGTGAACCACGCAGAGTCATGTGAAGGACACGGATCCCACGCACGAGCAGAAAGACAGGGCTGTGGGAAAGGCACAGGCTTCAGAGGGAGACTGACCTGGGTCAGAAGCCCATCCACCCGCCGCTGAAGGGTCTCAGCGCACCCTGAGTTTGAGTTTCCTCTACTACAATGTGTGGATGACAGTGTCACCCTCTTAGGTGACATTTAATACTCGGGGTGAGGAACGATTGAGATAGCATATGCAAAGTGCAGGGCCCGGCACATAGTAGGTGTTCTCTTTGCTTGGCTCATCTAACTCCCAGACAACCTTGTGGGTTTTATAAAAGATGTTAGTCCTGGGGTCACAGCAAGGTCACATTCTCTGGACTCCTGACTTAGCCATTCATTTGGGCTGTGTGTACGTCAAAGAGTAATTCTGAATTTTCCAGAGTTTTGAGTCTCTCCTGATATCCTTCTGCCTGTTAGGGAGCCAACAGAGTGAGTAACCTAATAAGTCTGTTCACCTGAAATACTCTTACAAGCAGGGCCCTCCAGAGAAGGGTCTGGGATCAGTTTAATTCAATTCGTATAAATACTTCTTGAGTTCCTTGTGCGTCAGGCGTAGAGTCGAGCCAGGGAAACCGCAGGAAACAAGGCAGACAGGCATCTCAAAGAACTCAGAGTCCATGGGGGAGACAGATGATGGAAATGCAAGTTCTGTGCAGTGGGGCCAAGCCTGGAACTGGGAAGGTACAGGACCACCGGGGGCCGACAGGGGAGCGCACCCCAGACCTGAGCTGGGGAGAAAGGCCGAGGGCTCATTAGAGGAGGCGAGTTCAGGAAGATGAAGAGCTGGCCAAACGGGGGACAGTGCGGAAGAGGCGGCGTCACAGAGGAAAACCCTGCACTGGGCAAAGCTCTCGAGGACAGAGAAAGCGGGACGTTCTGGGAACCGAACGCTCAGTGCACTCAGAACTTCGTGTTTACAGGGCTAGGATGAGGCTGGGAAAGGTGACCTGGGCCAGGTTATTAGCTCTTTTACAATTTCATAAAGGTCAGGCGAAGCCTTTAAATGGTTCTGGGGAAGAAGTGGCCTGGTCGTGCATCACTGACCTCCCGCTGATTCTGCCTGGAACCCCCTTCACCTGCCTGATTCCCGCTTACCCTTGAAGAACGGCTTAAGTCTCAGCTCAGGGCACCTGCTTAACCCTTGGGCTGGCCTCTGGATGTTCCCCACCCCTATCTGCTCCATCTTGGGGTTGGCTGTGCTAGACTGAGAGGTCTCTAGGCTTTCTCTCTCCCCCACTAGACCATAAACTTCCCGAAGGCAGGCGACGCACAGTGTCTGTGTTTTCCTAGCACCAGGATAAGTGCACGTGTAAAATAAGTATGTGTTAAATATTTGGGGAACTGCACTGACTTCTAGGCAAAGGCATGTAGAGAGGTGTAGAGAAACACGACCTCTCCCTATAATGACAGCTGCCCAGACGGAGAAAATCATGACTGTAGGGGCTGCTCCTCTAGGGATTGAAGGGCTGCCTTTCTTTCCCTCCTGACGTCACAGAGCAGCTTCCGGCACTTGCACGGCCAACCCTGGCCTAGATGTGGTGGAAACAGCTCTGAGGATGAACAAGGACACTGTCCTGACCCCTCCTTTCCTCCAGAACAACACTGTGGGGAGAAGGGGACAACTGTTCTTGCCCTGATGGCCTGCAGAGTCCTGCCTGGCCCAAGACGCCCTGGCCCTTCCTAACCCCGGCTGGGTCAGGCCCATCGAAGGCAAAAGTGAAAGGGCTTAAGTTCATAGATGGGCCAATAAGTTGACTTTTCTTTCAAATTTTCTTTTATTATACAAATAGTATACTTTAAATGATAAATATATGGCAGTGCCATATGTCTCCTAACCATTGCCTTATGAATGGACATTTAAGTAGTTCCTGACTTTTCAAATAAGTGTTTTAGGAGACATCGTTGTAGCTAAAGCTCGATGCACAGTTTTACCTTTCTCCAGGTAAATTCAGGCAGTGAAATCGCTGTGTCCCAAGGCACGTGTATTTTTAGGGCTTTTGATTCTTGTCGCTGAATCGCCCTCTGAGAAGTTTCAACCGGTTCACAAATGTCAGCTTTGAGGAAGAGTGTTCGTGGCTCTGCATGGTTTCCTACACGGTTATGATTTTCTTTGCTGACTTGAAAAGGGAAATATGCTTCATTCCGGGTGGGATTTGCATTTCTTTCATTCTCGGTGGGGGCGATGTCTCTTCAGCTGCATTTCCCTCTATTATGAAGAGCTAGTTCACGAATCTGTTCATTTTACACGCCTGGAGAGCAGGAATATTTTTCCTAAAGATTTTAAGAGCTTTTCATGCATCAGGTTGGTAACCCTGAGGAGATTATATGTCGCAAATATTTTTGTTCATTGACTATTTGAATTTTTTTATGCCTTTAAAAAAAATAATTCCATTTGAAGTTTTACTTAATCAAATCTAACAGTCTTTGCTTTTATGGATTCCACATTTGGTGTCACTCTTTAAAGGATGGCCCTATCTGAGGTTAGATTTCCATGATCAAGGACTGGAATTTATGTGGTTAAATGCATGAGGTATAATTTGTTTCTCTTTCTTCTTTCCAAATGTTTAAGCCCACTGTTTTAAAACCATTTATTAAATAATCCATCCTCTCTTCAGTGGGTTAGAAATGACACTTTAATCATATATTAAAGACAGTCTCTCTCTCTCTCTCTCTCTCTCTCTCACACACACACACACACAATCTATTTCTGGACCTTTATTCTTCTCCTGATTTGTGTGTCCACTCCTATACTCATACCAAATTGTAAAATTATTTTAACCCACAACAACATTTTAATATCTGGAAGAATTACTTTTCTTTAAAAAAATTTTTTTCTTGGCTTTTCTACATGTTCATTCTTCTAGATCAGAGGGTCTTATCTAAGGGCACGCATCAGAATTAACAGTGACGTGTTCTAAAAACACAGATGGCTGGTTTCCACCTCCAATGTAAACAATCAAAACCTCTAGGGTATGGGCTACACATTAAGGTGCTTGCTAAAGGGCAGGGGGGCTAAGAACCACGACTCTAAAGCAACTTCGGAATAGGCTTCTGGGGGTCAAGGCCAGGCCTGCCCGGTTACTCTTTATTCCCAGACCTGAAATCTGCCACACAGGTGCCATTCAATCACTATTTGATGAACAAAAGAGTACGCTAATTAATGTTTATTTTGTAACCAGCACCTTTCCTTTGCTCTTGGGCTCCCAAAGATCACTTATGTGAGGCAACAGTCCAGCCTGGTGAGGAGCAGCTGAGGGATGCGTGAAGAGGACTGCTGTGTCCAGTATCGGAAGGGTGGACATGAGGAAGAGGGAACAGACACATCCTATTTCCCCAAGGACACGGAACAAAGAAGGACGTTTTGGGGGCACCTACCAGGCTATTAGGAGGGGTCAGATCTATCACAAAATGATAATAGGTGCCCATTGGTTGAATGAGTTGGCCAATTCCCCACCCCTGGGCATGTATAGACATTTTTGACAGAAGGTGTGTCATCTCATGGGGTGTGTTCAAAGCAGATTCCTGCATTAAGGATTTGAGATCTGGGAATCTCCAAGATCTATTCCAGCATGGGGACTTTGATTCTTAAAAATACTTAGTTTTAAATAATTCTGTTTGTGAGTTCTGTGATCAAAGAAAAAGGTTCTGGGACGTTTCTTGTTAGTGAGAAAAACTCAGACTAAGCCTAGAGGTCACTATATAGAGAGATCCTTGTTGTGGTCACTTTGACTTGGGGAATGTGGGGTCTGACCATGTCATATCCCAATACCTGCTATGGGACTAAAACACTCACCCTTGCCATGCGATGTCTCGATAATCCAGGTGCAGTTCAAGTTATTGGGGTAGAAGTCGGGGAACCCTGGTGACAAGATGGTCCCACTGGAGCCTTGAATGAAGCCACCACAGAGTGCTACAGGAGTAAAGAAGGCAGTGAAAGACTGGAGCGGCTCAGGAGCTCCCCCAATCCTCCTGGGAACCTGTCCCCCATATCCTTTCAAACCCATAATGCTCCCTGATGTTGGGAGAGTCAGTGCCCCTTCAAGCTCCTGGATTTTTACGGCAGGAAAGGAATCCACTAGTTTAGTGCCCCTTATGGTGTGCCTTACCTTCACAGCTGGGCAGGGCCCGGCTCCACTGGAAGTTGGGCTCACACTCCAGGGGCTCCCCGTCACTTAATGTGTAGCCCGAGTCACAGCTGAAAGTCACCAGAGCACCCACATAGAAGTCATTTCCATGACGCTGCCCATTTACAGGGATCCCTGGATCCAGACAGTGGTCTGACTGCAGGGTTATAGCTGGAAAAGAGAGCCCACAGATGGAAAAGACACCTCACCACCACCACATCAGAGGGACCCCAGCTGACTCACACAGGGAGGGAGGAGAGAGCCCTGCTTTACAGAAGGCTTAAGTTGTCATTCACCCACTCATCAAATGTGGCTGTCAGTATCTGGTGAGAGACTATTAGAAGACCGATCAGAGCAAACAAGTGGGCTTAATCATTCATTCATTCATTCATTCATTCATTCATTCATTCATTCAGTGAACATAAGCTGAGTGTCTACTAAGGCTTAGACACCATACTAAGGCTTATGGCTATAAACCTGAACAAGAAAATGACCCCATCCTAATGGTGCTCTCGGCCACAACTTCTTACAATGGTCTGTGGAACTGAATTGACGTCAGTCTCTCTAAATCGAGGCACCAGCAGTGAATGCAGAAGGTGAAGAGAGAGGGTGAGTGGCTCGGACATTCAATCTCACTTCAGCTTCACGATCTGTCAAACACTCTGTGCCCAGAGTGCCCAACATGGTGCCACCTAATTGCACACAAAAGAGGCCTTGCTGGTGTGCAGGCCACCAGCTTCCATTGCTTCTGAAGATCTGACAGGTTCTTTAGAAGAAACTTTCATTCTCTCTAAAGGTTGAGCTCTGAGCGATGCTGAGAGCAAGGGGGGTCTCCCGAGGAGCACAGCCTTGAGAATGCACGGGGATGGGGCCGAGCGGGCAGCCTGCTGGTGGAGCACAGTCCCGGGTCCTTTCACCCACCCAGCCAACCCTGTTACCTGCCTCCCCGAGACTCACTCTCATAGCGGAGCTGGAAGCCGATGTCCGAGTGACTCTTGTCAGTGGAGAAGAGCAGGTAGAGGTAGTTGCTGGTGCTGATGAGGAACTGAGGGACCTGGGTCCCATGGTAGACCCCGATCAAGGGCGCGGAGTATGTCCGTCCATCTCTCACTTCCAGAGTATCATAGTTCACCTCGGTTTTAAATCTGCCAAAGATGGAGATGAATGCTTCTAGAGAAACCCAAGGCTTATTAATTTGCAGATGACAAAAGGCCTTGTCTGACCCAGGGCTTCAGAACAATCAGATTTTGGCAGGCTGAGATAATTTAATATAATTTGCACACATTCACCAGCGATGTGGAGACCTTCTCTACTGTATTTAAGCCCTTCTCTTCCCACAGTGGACACAGCACTCTCAGTCCTCTCTGATGCCCAGGCAATGACCCACCGTAAGGCTTAGAGGCACAGTGACTAGCCTCACGGGGGTTAGAATGTTCCAGGCTGGTGTGAGCTGACTATAGACTGGGGCCAAAGCTGATCTCTAGGCTGTTTTTGTATGGCCTCAGAGCAAAGAATGGTTTTTACATTTATAAAGAGGTTTTGTTTTGTTTTTTAAAGCAAAGAATACATAACAGTTATCCAAAAGTGTCTACAAAACCTACAATATCACATCTGGCAGCTCCCAGAAGTTGGTGGACTGCTATTCTTGACCATGAATGCTTTGCCTAGAAGTTTGTGTTCGCATTTGGGTGGCTTCTTTCCCCACTCGAGGGGCATAACCAGGTGGGAGCTGGAAGTGGGCACAGAGCAGGATCTGGTCAGAGGTCAGGAAGTCAGCCTTCGCATATTGGAAATTTCAGGGTTATGCTCCCCAGGTGCTAATGCCCCCTTCACCATCTCACAGTATCTATCTGCCCACGCTCCCTCCTCTGACATCCCCCAGCCTCTGCTCACCCCTCCAGTCATAATCCCTTAGTCAGCACAAACCCTAGTCCTGAGGTTGGGTCAAGGCCAAGGGCAAAGCCAGTGCCGCCTGCCAACTCAGGGAAATCTGTCCCAGCGTTCGCTGACCTTGCTGACCTTGCGGCATCAGTGCTGATCCCCACTCACCGCAGGTCCCCTCCCACCCTCTCCCGAGGCCCTGGTTACAAGCACCTGTCGAAGGTGATTTTGATGGGGTAGCCTGGCTGGGCTTCGATCACCCAGGCGCAGCTCAGGGCATCCTTGTAGAAGCCAGGCCAGCCCGGAGACAGGATGGTGCCACTGGGCGAAGTCAGATGACCGCCGCAGGGAGCTGGGGGGACAGAAGGGAGAGAAGCAGCTTTCTTGAGGGAGGAAGACAAATGAACAGAGAAAAAAAAAATCCTCTCTATAAAATGTGTCCACCAACAAGTATTGCTTTTGTTTTTATGGAAAATTACATAAACTGAATAAACTGTGAGTTCTGTCCACCGGGACCCTTACGGATATGTTCAACTGCATCATTTGGAGTTTTATTAAAGGCCAGAGGGGAGAAATGAAAAGAATCCTTCAAACAAAGTCCTTGCCCATTCTACAGGGGCTGCACTATAGCTAATATTTGGGTCACACTAGTCTTTTCTTTGTTCCTCACTCAGTCGTCAGGCCTGTGGCAGAGGAGGGACCTGCCCCCCAAGCAGCACCGGGCCTCTGGCGCTGGAGGCTGGGCAGAGCCCGCTGCTTGGAGCACCAGCAGGACCTGCCCCACTGTGAGCTCCACGAGGGCAGGGGCCCTATCACTGTCTTACTCGGCTCAGATCCCAGCACTTAGCCTAGAGCTTGGCACAGTTGTCCCTCTGTGCCCCAAATCAGCAACTATTACTTAGATGAATGAATGGATGGATGGAAGGATAAACGAATGCTGTCCATGTCGGTGATGCCACCAGACACTGGTGGTCAAGGCACACCTCTGATCTCACCAAGCCTGTCATTGCTGTCCCTTGGCTTCGCTGCCCATTCTCCCCTTCCCTCAGCTTCCTACTCTTACCCACATTTTCCCCATCATTCTTGCCTCTTCCTGCAACCAGACCCCTATGGTGGTCATGAGCGCTCTTCCAGTCCCCCTCCTTCAGGGTACGTGGTCGGCTTTCACTGTGGAAGTGATGCTAGGCCATGTGACCACCTTGACCAGTAAAATGAGAGTGGGAGTGATGCACGTCTGTCCATGGGGGAACTGTAAGAGCCAGGACACGATCTGTGAAATTTCCTGCCTTGGTGACTGTGGAACAAGAGTGGAGATGGACATCCTGTCAGCCGGCCTGTAAGTGAATCCGAGGAGCAGAGTCCCCGATGACGGGCTACACATGTAATCTGGGAGAGATATGACTCCTGTGTTTAAGCCACTGGGGTTTGGGGGTTGCTTGTTAACACCGTCTAACCTAGGCCACACCTCTCTCCCCACTCCCAGTGAGGCTGCCGTCGCCACACTGCCATGGACTGAGAGCCCACTCGTGCCGGGCATTTAGCGTCACACCAATAGTCATGCTCAGTCTTCACCAAACCCAGACCCTGTGAGGGGCTGCTATTCCTTTCTCCAGCTTACAGCTAAGAGAGCTGATGCTAACGGAGGCTCAGTAACTAGTCCTGTGTTAGCAAGTGGTAGTGCCTGGACTCAGACCTAGGAAGATGGTGTAAACCCAGAGATCTCAGGCTGAGCAGCCTCCCAGCCTTAAAGGAACCCCTGCTTCCTTGGGATTTCCTTACTATGGGGCTACCAGGTGCCAAAAATGCCCTGAACAAGACCGGGGAAGGGGCTAAAGAGCTACCAAGCACTTCTATCTCTGCAAGTTTTTCTGACTTCCTCCAGGCAATCATTTTCATAAAATACAGCCAAATGTAGCACCTTCCCTCTCTCAATTCTATAAGCTTCTTGGAAATATCTCAAATAACTGTCAAGCATTCTTAATAGAAAGTTAAAATAGGAAGTTTAACAAATAAAGTAAAAAATAATAATTGTGGTGATAATAGTAGACGACTCATACTGATGACAGGACGCTTTATTATCCCCATTTCATAGAGGAGAAAACTAAGGCTACACAGGCTAAGAGATTAGATTGAGAGCTAATGAAGTTAGCGCTGAGATTTAACCTCAAGACCTCTGACTCCAAATTCCCCTGCAGCACATAATAGTTCTATAACCGCGGCCGGTGGTAATGAGCTCATGGCTACCGAGAGCTTAGGCATGTCAGGGCTTATGGATTATCCTTGTGACAACTGCAACACTAAAAGGCAGATAGTGTTATTACCCTCATTTTATAGGCAGGGATTACTGCCCATTTTCAGTAGGGTGAGGCTGGAGAAACAGGTAATTACACAGCACCTATATCAAACACGGAGAGTAAATTGCAAATGGGTATTATCACCTCCTGGATAAGCTGGTTTTCGGAACCGATCCATCCATCTCTCTGAAACCACTAAAGCTTTCCTCCACTTCTCCAATGGGCATGTGAGACGTTGCAGGTGAGGCGGGCATGCCGACCGCTCCACCCCGAGTCTCCCTGCAGGTACTAGCCCCCAGCAGAAGTAGGGACTCTCTCTTGGCTCCAGTTCAACACAGGCCCAGCCTCTTTGGTTGCTGGGCTGTGATCTCCTCACTCACTTTCCAGAAGCCAGAGATCACACAGTCACTCCATTCAGTGCATGTTTATCAGCAAAGCTCTACCCAAAACCTCCAGCGAGGGAACCCGAACCCCGCCGTTGGCAGTCAGTGTTTTGTCTTCTTTCTCTGCTCTGTTGCTTTGTTACCTGGGCCAGTTCATCTCCTCTCCTGCTCATGTGATGGTCCAATGACCTCTCTATCCATTCGGTCCTTCGCTCTCCCTAGTTCATCTTCATATTTCAGGTGGCAGCTGCCAGGCAGGGAGGAGGGCAGGATTCCTAAATGCATGTGTCTTTACCATTTGAAAAGAGGCCCAACCTCACTCTCACTATGAAAATACATGTTAAAACTACAACAAGAAATAGCTTCTCATCAGGTAGGGAAAACCAAAGCTGGATGACATGTGATGCTGGGGGAAAGGAGGTATTCTAGGACCTTGCTGGTAGAAACAGAAAATGACACAACCCCTATGAAGGAAAATTTGGTGATATCCAGAAAATTCATATGCATTTACTCTATGACCCAGCAATTCTATTTGCAGAACTCTATCCCCAAGACATAATAGCAAAATATGAAATGACATATCTATCATCTATCTATCTATCATCTATCATCATCATCTATCAACCAATTATCTATCTATCTATCTATCTATCTATCTATCTATCTATCATCTATCATCTATCTATCTATCTATCTATCTATCTATCTATCTATCTATCAATCATCTATCAACCAATCACCTATCTATCTATCTGAGGCTATACAAGACAGCATTATTTGTAAGAGCAAAACATTGAAAACAGCCCAAATGTTCAGCAATGAGTGAATGAACTGGGGTAATCAACAAAATGGATTATTTATGCAGCAAGAATGAGGAATAGTCTATATAATGTCATGGAGGGGTCCCTAGAATATATTATTAAGTAAATAAAAGCAAGGTAGATAGGTAAAAAATAAGGGTATAGTATGATTCTACATCTAAGAAAGGGGGTGGGAGACATACACACTTACCTACTCTTATTAACAATCAATGCAAGAGTAACCCCAAATCTCAACATTACCTATGGAAAGAGGGAGTGAACAGGGTAGAGAGGATAAGAATAGAAGCTAGACTTTCTCAGTATACACCTCATTTTAGAGGTTTAGCTTTGGGTCTTTGTAAGTACTGTGCACAATTAAAAAGAAATACTGAAATTTGGTAAGCCATTTCTTAAAACTCAAAAAGTAGAGGAACTAAATGAATGCAATACTGTGTCAGTTGGCATAATCACACATGAAGAAACTAGTGGAAAAAAGTTAAAAACACTGTAATTTGATAGCCCATTCTAGTAAGAAGAGGGGACAAGAAGAATTGAAAGAGATAAAATTAAACCCCTGGAAACCACACACACACACACACACACACACACACAAACGAATTGAAAGAAAAACAACCTAAACTATTTCCAGTAATCACACTGCTGTACGTGGTACTGGTATCGCAATTCTGAGGCTCTCCGGTATGTTGGTGGAATGGGAAATTGTGTTGGTGGTGTTGGGGACTGGGCTTTTCAGCAAGAGTGAAAGGAGATACAGATATGACATCAAGGAAGTTAAGTAAAAAGGAAACCATGTTCTTGCATTGGAAATAAAATGAACCCCTGATGCATTTTACCCTTAAAAAACTATTTCTTAGCTCTGTTCATTGAAAAGACTTAGAAACAAGGGCCTACTCAATCGTAATAAGCACCTCCAGAGCCCAGATTCTAAATATCATTCTTCACTTAAAAAGAAACCAGGGCTCCGTGGAGAAACAGTTGATTCCACGTTGGGGACAGAAAATGCACAAGATGTGGTTGGGCTAATTTCAAAAGGCTTCCACTGGCCAATGGGACAATTTGAGAGTCGATTAGAGTAACAATGGCAGTAGATTTAAATACATAAAATACGTTTAAATATATTAAGGTATTTACAAATGTTCAGCTTTGGAAGGTGTTAAGGAATCGACTCATTAATACGAAAACTGGTAAATAGAAGAAAATTAAGTATTTTTCCTGCCTTCCCTTTAGTAAACCATACCTCAGGGTCACCAGTCGATGCAGGCAAGTTTTAAGCATCCCAGCTTATGAAAGAAGAAATGATAGCACGTTTCCAGTGTGCAATCCCCAGGCTATGATCGCTGATTATTCCTAATGTCTCCCAAAGAGAGACAACCAGACATTATGTGCCTCTGAGGTAGGCACAGAGCCCTGCCTATAAAATACTCTGGCCAAAGAAATGGAACCTAAATCTGATTAGGTTTCTAGATCTCACTGCCAATGAAAGGAAATGTAAGATAGAGAGGATCGTGTTAAACAACCTCCCAGGGATGTAATCACCAGAATTCAGGGTGCAAGAGACTCCACAGGATAAATGACCCGGCTTCTTCAACAAAAAATTGCAGGGGGTGTTTAAGGGGGTAGACACCTTAAAGAAGATGAGACATATAAGCCAATTACAATGTATAAACCTAACTAGGCTTCTGATTTTTAAAAAAATGCTATAAAGGAAAGGATTAGACAATCATGGACATTTGATTATAGTGTGATTTTTATTTTTTTAAGATAGCAGTGTTGTGGTTATGTCTTAAAGAGTTCTTTTTTATCCGTTAGGATACACATTAAAATGTTGTGGATGAAATATTTTGCCTGAAATTCGCTTCGTAATAATCTCAGAGCAGGGTGGTGGTGTAAAATGAAACAAAATAGGCCATGAGTTTGTAATTGCTGAAGCTGGGCAACAGGTGATGGGTACATGAGGTTCATTATACCAGTATCTCTGTTTGAAATTTTCATTAAAAATGTTAGGGCAAACAAGAGAAGTGAAGGCAGTGACTCCAACAGACATTTGTTCAGCTCTCTTCAGAGCAGCAGCATTCACAACCGCTCCAGAAACGCCCGCTGACAGGTGAACGGATAAACAGACGTGCGTGCACACAGTGGGTGTTCTTCAGCCTTGAAAAGGAAGGAAATTCTGATATATGCAACACCACAGATGAACCTTGAGGACATGATGCCACGTGAAATAAGCCAGTCACAAAAGGACAAATATTGTACGATCCCACTTATATGAGGAACTTACAGTAGTCAGATTCACAGAGAGTAGAATGGTGGTTGCCAGGGTTCAGGGGGAGGGGGAATGGGGAGTTTGTGTTTAAATGGCCACAGTGTTTCTCAGTTTTGAGAGCTGAAAAAAATTCTGAAGATGGATGGTAGAGCTGGTTGCACAATATGAATGTACTAAGTATCACTGACCTGTACACCTAAATTGATAAAGATGGTAAATTCTGTTAGGTGTATTTCACTTACTAATGAAGAGGAGAGGGTCCTGCCTTGAACAGAAAGAGGAGCTCAGCAACAGACAAAACACCCTGTGCCTAACTCAGTGCCTGGGACACAGCAGGTGCTCAAAAAATGGTTTTTTTTTTAAGGAGTGAAAATACTGATGGAAAGGTAGAGCTACTGGATCGAGTAGCTCATGACTGAATCGAGTTCCTCCAAATTCACAGGTTGAAGTCCTAACCCCCCGATGAAGCTGTTTTTGGAGATGGGACCTTTAAGGAGATAGTTAAGGTTAAATGAGGTCAGAAGGGTGGATGGGTGTCCTTAGAGAGGAGGAAGAGGCACTAGGCCTGCAGGCACATAGAGAGGAGAGGCACGGGAGGACCCAGCAAGGAGGCCTCCGCCTGGCAGCCGAGGAGAGAGGCTTCAGGAGAAACCCACCCTGCTGGCACCCTGATCTTGGACTTGTAGCCTCAAGAACTGTGACAAACAAATTTCTGCCATTTAAGCGACGAGTCTGTGGCATTTTGTTATGGTGGCATGAGAGGATCAATACACTGGGCTTCTGATGAGGGGCCCGTGTCCTTGTGAGGGGTGCGCCACCTCTCCTGCCCTCTGATGCTACAGCTGTCCAAGGCAATGGTGATGCTATAGGATGGTACCAAGGACTAGTAATCGACGGGTGCCTTTTCCTTTCCTGTATGTTCATCCTCATAGCAACCTGCAAGGTGGCTACTGGTGTTCGCCTCACTTCACAGCTGAGGAAACCGGTACAGAGAAGTTAGGTATCTGGTCCCGCAACACACAGCTAGGAAGCGGCGGAGCCACGATTTAAACTTGGGTGGTCGGACTCCAGCGTCCGCATCTCTAACCACTGTGGGTGGGCTTGGGAATGCCCACGCCCACCCTGACAGTAACACTAAGTGTCCGGTGGAAAGGCCAGAGGCAGTGACAGCCTGTTTCTCTGCCTTCTACTCCGCCCTGCCCTGCTGCTGTGCCACCCATGGGCGCCCTCACCACCCTGCCTCCGCCATGTAGCAGAATGAAAGGAGTCGCACAGACCTAACTTGGTGATTAAGGGGTGGTTCTGGGGTCAGAATATCTGGATTGGCATCCCGACCCTCCCGCTCACTCAGCTGCGTGACCTTGGGCCAGCTGCGCAACCACTCTGTGCTTTGGGTTCCCCGTCCCCGTCTGTGAAGTGAGGACAGTGACAGCGCCTATCTCCTAGGCCGTCAGGGGGGCTCCACAGGACAGCGCACGTAAAGCACCTGGCTAGTCTTCAGCACACGGCAACTGCTCGGTTATTACCAGCCGGGCGATCTCGGCCACGCCGTCCATCTCGCTGCCTTCCGCGGGTCTCACGGACAGAGCACAGGGACATCTCCCTCAGGAGGGTGACAAGAAGCTGAATAGGCTGGAAGCTCCCTAACTGCCCTTCCCTCTGCCTTGGAGGCCTAAATGGGCTGCAGCGATCACTTGGATTCCCCTCGTGGGGCTGGGGAGAATCCGCCTTCTTTCTTTTTTGTAGAACTTAAACATTTTCTGAGTATAAAAGTAACACATTTGGTATAAACATGGAGAAAAAAAAGGTACACGTGTTTATACCAGACTGTTAAACTGTTTTCCTCTGGGGAATGAGATCGGGTTCAACTTTATTTCACTTGCGATTTATTTAAAATTTTTTTACAGCCACCAAGTATTACTTTAAAAAGAAAATACATACTCACTATAGATTATTTATCTCCTGTTCCCCCCCATGTATTTCTTCTAAGCAACATTTTAAAAAAATCCAGTTTGAGTCTTTGACTTTTAATAAGGAGTTTAACTACCTTTATTATCATGACTGATATGTTTGTCTTACTGCTGTCATTTTGTTTTATGCTGCCAATTTCTGACGCTTCCATGGGGGGTCCTGTCTTTGTCTTTTGCGACAGACAATATGTCTCCTTTTGTTTTAATTTTCTACTGGGATATGGAAAGTAGAGAATCTGCTTTTCATCCTATTTGTGGATGATTTTAAGTCTTTCATAAACATGTTTGGAAGTATATTCTCTCGAGTGACACAATTCAAGAAAAACAGAGTAACAGTGTAGCCAAGAGGCTAGGTTTGAATTCTGGCTCTGTCACCTATAAGCTGGGAGAAACCTGGGCAAGTGACTCAACCTCTCTGTGACCAGCGGGGGCCATAACTACACCTGCTTCCTAGACTGGCGCATGGCTGAAATGAGTAAGTAAAACACTAATCACAGTGGGACAGAATTCGTTGGTTCTTCTTTAAAAGAGACAAGGGCCTGGCCGATCCTGGCTCAGCGGTTGAGCGTCGACCTAGGATCCAGGAGATTGGGGTTCGATTCCTGGTCAGGGCACATGCCCGGGTTGCGGGCTTGACCCCCAGTGGGGGGCATGCAGGAGGCAGCTGATCAATGACTCTCTCATCATTGATGTTTCTATCTCGTCCCTCTCTCTGAAATTGATAAGGATATATTTAAAAAAAAAAAAAAGAGAGAGAGAGAGACAAGGAAGAGAGGAACGTGGGGAGAGAGAGCCAGGCAGTCCCTTGTAGATGCCTGCACTACCTGGAAGTCTTTCTTAGGAAATTTCTGATTTTCTTTTTTAAATCCTCACCCAAGGACATGCTTAGAGAGAGGAAATTAGAGAGAGAGAGAGAGAGAGAGAGAAACATACATTGGCTGCCTTCCCTATGCTCTCTGACTGGGGATCAAACCAGCAACCTGGGCACGGCCCTGACCAGGAACTGAAACGGCAACCTTCTGGTGCACGGGATGAACCCGACCAACTGAGCCACTGCGGCCAGGCAGGAGATTTCTCATTTTAAACATATGGATCCCGTATGTTCTCTAGATCAGGGGTCATCAAAAGCCAGCCCAGGGGCCACATCCAGCCCATTTACTTGTGTTGTCTCAGGCTGTTCTCATATAACGATGGCCACGTTGAGGAGAGACTGCGGGGCCTGCAAAGCCAAAAATTCTTCCCAGCTGGCCCTTTAAGAGAAGTTTGCCGACTGCTGCTTTCTATCAGCCGGATAATCATCCCTCTTTCTAAATTTAGGAGAAGCAGCCATTTTCTCCCTCGTCCCATTACAGCCTCTCAAAAACTAAGTGGCTCTTAGCATATATTAAAAGAGTTTTTAAAAGACCATTAGCTTCTGCATTTAATTGTCCACAAGGTGGGGATACTTAATCAAAAACAAAACTAGAACATTGAAAAAGACAGAAGATGCTGATTATAAAGCAGGGTTCTCCCAAGGCTGGGACGCCAGGGGGAAAAGGGTCCATGGAGGGGCCAGATTCCAGGGGTTTCTCCGCTTGACCTGCTCTACAGTTTTAGAGCCGGGATTGGCCACCCTAGGCAGTGTCTCTCACTCCTCCCCTCTGATGTACTGCTCCCCAGGTCCCCCAAACCAGGGTGGCAGCAAATGCCCTTCACTCTGAGAATAGTGAGAAGGCTCCTCTTCCCTGCGCCCCCACAGGGTCTTTCTAATAGGCTGCCCCTTATTTTTGGTTGCCTACTGTCCCCCCAGGGACAGAATGAATGAGACAGCTTTAATTTCAAAATTAGCACTTTGCTGTGAATAGTGAGCTGTGTTAAGGCCCATTAACAAGACCAGATTCTCGCCTGCATCATATGCGGCTTCGAGTGTTTCAGTGCCTGGGCGGGACGGTGGTGGGGAGCACCTGGTGCAGGAGGGAAGCGGTGGAGAGGAGTGGAGGGTTCTGCAGGTACCAAGTCCTGGTGGCCCCAGGCAGCAGGCACCTACCTTCACACCGCAACACGGCGCTGTTCCAGACCACGCTGCCTTCCTTCAGGATGCAGGTGATGGTCTCTGAGCCCTGAGTCCCCAGGAAGCCTTCATCACAGAGGAAGGAGATAGAACTTCCCAGCTGGAGGCTGTCACCGAACCGTTTGCCATTCACTGGAACGCCGGGATCGGGGCACTCGTTGTGTCGGAAGGCTGTGGGGATGGGGGTCAAGGATGTCATTAGGCAGATCTGGTGTGCAGCTGGACCCCAAAGAAAGTCAGCTTCATTATGATGGTCAACCCTAGCCCTCCACCAGTCCCCCAAGAATCCGCCATGCTGGGGGGAGAGCCAGAGACCCTAGACCCAGGGGCGGATGTTGTGCATAAAGGGGGTGATTGTTAAACCTGCTCTCTTGCCTTCCCAAGCACCTAATCCAATTTCATTCTAATGAACATTTATTGAGCAGGCAGTGGGCTAAGGATTTCTCATAGTCACCTGCTTGCATCATATAATGATTACACGAAGTAGATACTATTATCCCAGTTTGCAAATGAGGAAACTGAGGCTTCAGGATCAGATGTTTCCTCAATGCCAAATCCATTCCATGCTTCCCTGTCTTCAGTCATTGGTGACACTAAGAGACACCAAGCATCATGAAGCAGGTGTCCTGGAATCAGCGCTGTCTGAACCCATTTCCTTCACTCCCTCGTCTCTGTCAGGCTGCCTCTCGCTCTCGCAGGCAACTGATGATGCAGGTGGGGCTGGGGGAGGACAGAGTGAGAACACCTTTGGGCTTAATCGAGCTTTGCCTCTTGTTAGTTACACGGTCCTGGGAAACTTATGTAATCTTGCTGAGCCTGTTTCCTGACCTATAAAACGAGATCATCCTTCACTTGCAGGGTCATCCTGGGATAGAAATAAAATGAAAGTTGATATGAATAGCAGAGTGGAGAATATCTGTACAGCTGTACAGCTCCTGACGGGCGGTAAGGACTCATTAAGAATGAGTTGCCTTCCCTTCCTTCCTCCCATTTTCCCTTCATCACCACTGCCCCTGAGCATATTCCCAGCCCTCCTCCATCAGGGGTCAGGGTGCCAGTTCTCTCACTCAAGTCTCCGAAGCCACACCCAGTTTGCACCCCTGCTGTATGAAGGCCAGCGGCTTAGCCGTGGAGACCAGGTTCCGTGGCTGCAAGGGCAAGTACCACTTTAAGAAACTCAGTTTACAAGCCTCTGAAGTCCCTGAGTGATGGAAACATTTGCACAGTCAGAAACAGAAGCAGCCTGCCCTGGAGGCTGCTGGATCTTGCTGGAGGCAAGAGGCCTGGAGACCTGGCGATCCTCCCTACTGAAGGTGAGCTGTGGGGGATCCAAGGTGGAGGTGAGTGTGCTGATTCCTCGCAGAGCCTCCACGAAGTCCCCACCACCCTTCCCTCTGAAATGCAGAGCCTAGGGCAGCCCAGACCTCAGGCTCTCAACCTTTCTTTATTAGGAACTATAATCATGAGGTTGCCCTGACATTTAGAAATAAGTGGTGCCCGAAGCCAGAAGTCCAGGTGTCACACACACCCTATCAGTCATACACACACACACACACACACACACACACACACACACACAANCACACCCTATCAGTCATACACACACACACACACACACACACACACACATGCACACAAAGATCTAAATATGGAGCTATTTTCAACACCTGGGAGCAAGAGCTCTAAGTCAAGGATTTAAACACTGCCCAGCTCTAACTGGGCATCTTTTCCAACCTGTCTCCTGCCATGTGAAAAGGGCTAGATCTCAGTCTACGAGGTTTCTGGTTGGGGCCCGGCGTGACGACTGCACTGTGCTCATACAGCAGGTGCTCAGTAAACAGCATCTACTTCACACTGTTGAAGGTGCTCCATGTGGAAGAAGGATTAGGTTTACTCCAAGGAGCTCCAGGGGTGGGGGAAGACCCCGGGTCCTTGTTACAGGGACAGAGCTTTCAGGTCATCACAAGGGGAAGCACAGAGTGCTCTCCTTCTATGGAGACGGCTGTCTGGGGAGGTGAGCTCCTGACACTGGGCACACTCCAGCTCAGCCTTGATGGTCATCAGTAGGGATGTGACCCAGGAGATGGCTGTCCTGCAGGGAGACTACGCTGCTTTCCAAACACTTGTCCACGGACTACTGTTCACTAGCTGTATCTGAACCTCCTCAGAACCTCTCAAAAAGTAGATGCTGGGGCCTTGGCCCCCTGGAGATTCTGACTCAGCAGTAGGATGGGGCCCAGAGTTTAAAATATTATTTCTACTTCTCCATCCAAATGCCTCTCTGTGTGAATGCACAGAAAAACACCTGATGTCTGTAACAGTGTTCGCCACATGCTGTCAAGAACCATTTCTGGGTGGGGAACTTGGGGTGGTGGTTAGCATTTCCTCTTTGACCTGCCCCGGTTTTCTGAGTATTTACGTATTGGGTGTGTGTCATTTTTGCAGTGCTGGAGAAATCCTGGAGAGGAATGCGAGGTAGGAGCTTGGTCCTCAGGTAAGGTCCACAGCCTTCCACCTCTTCCTCCCGAGGACCCAGCATTTGCTCCTTTCCTGGAAAATGGGGACTTCCTGGTTTTCCTGGGAGACTATACGCGCGCATTTTTGCTGCGGGTGCCCCATCCGTGTCCACACTTCCTTTGACCCTGCAGAGCTGTCTGCTGTCACCATCCTGGACAAGTGGGGCCTCCCTGGGGACCTCTTAACCTCATTCGCACTTCCCCAGGGGAGTGAGAACATTGAGTCATTCATGAATCTTTCCACTCAAAAAACATTTACTGACCCTTCCCATGCACCAGACCCTGTGCTGGGCAGGTAAGCAGTACCCTCCCCTACCTGTCCGGAGCTCAGGGTCTCATGGAAAGCAGGGTGAGCGCAAAGCCAGAGCTGCACTGCTAGACCGGGAAGGTCGGGGAGGCGGACGGGCTCTGCTTCCTGCCCCCAGGGGTGCCGGGAATAGGGTGCCCTGGAGGAGGCAAGCTTTAAGGAGGCTGATTGCTTCTAGCAAGTCTGGTGTCCTGAGGAAGGTGCTGAGGGGAATGTCAGGGAAGGGCTTTAGTTGGGGTGGTCCCTTGGAATCTGGGGTACCCAGTGGCTGGTCGTTTGGCACCTATCGGCTTCAGCTCAACTAGACTCCAGGAACAGGTGGGAAAAGGAAGCAAGGCCTCTGTGCCCCTGATGGGGGTGGGGGCTGGGAGGAGATCAGTTCTGTTAAAAGCACCAGAGGGACCAGCCCTATGTGTGTTTGGGGGGGCGGGGCCTGAGCTGGGGACTTGCATTTCACAAGCAGCCTCTGGGGAAGGATCTGGTTATTGCTCAGGCAGACCCGACTTTAGCCTCGTTTGACCCTGTCATCGGCCAAGGTCATGGGTCTACCGCTTATTATAACCCGGTAAGTAGTTCTCGCTGCCTTTGGCTGCTTGTGGATCTCCAAGATTCTGCCCTACCCCCACCCTAATTATAACCTCATGAGACACAGGCATGAAAATAATCACAGCCACACTTCAAGTGGCTTCCTGAAGGGGCCCAGGATTGAAACTGGAAAGGACGTCTTTGGACTGTGGCCCTGAGAAGCGTGATGAAGAAATGCCTGAGTTGGCTTAAATACAATGTCAGAGCCAAAGAGAAACGGTGCTCCACACTCCTGTTTCCGATTTGACTCTGGGAATGGGAACTGGGCAAGGTCAAGTGTGAGCAGCCCCCCTGGAGTACCCACAGTAAGCGGTGTTCAAGACCACGGGGAGCACATCAGAGAGGGGTCAGTAACTAATGAGCGGATGACAGGTTTCCTCTCCCTTGGGCCCTTCCTGGTTCTAGCTGCACCTTCTAGGGGGTGGGGGTAGGAGGGAGAAATGAAGCCCCAGGCTCTTTTTACATTAAATATAGGAAATAAATGCTCTAAAGAGAGTGACTCTCCAGAAAAGATCACCCTCCCCAGCAGCCAGTGCTTTATGCCTTTTCTGGTCACGATGGATCCCCAGGCCTGGGTGTACAGCCCTTGGAGCTGGCCCATCCACACCCACACTCCTCCTGGGAGCACCCTCCACCATCCTCAGGGACTGACACTCAGAGGGGTGGTCGGCTGGGGACAGAGGGAGGACTCACTGGTAAAGGTGATGTTGAAGCCCCTCTTCCCCGTGGAGTGGTCGGTCTGGAACTCGAGACGGGCCACATGGCCACTGCTGGTGATGGAGGAGGGGAGCTGGTTTCCTGAGAAGGTGCCCAGGACAGGGGCCTCGGCGGTGGCTCCATCCTTGATGACCAGGAAGTCGAACTGAGGTTCCACGTCGATGTCATTGAAGGCCAGGTGGATGCGGCTCTCCGGTCGGGCCAGGATGAGCCAGACGCAGTGCAGGTGGTTGCCGTAGTCCTCTGGGTAGTTGGGCGACAGGACGACCCCAGAGGGGCTGGTGAAGTTGAAGAAGCAGGAAACTGCAAGAGAAGAGCCGTGGAGGTCAGTACGCGTCCCTGGCACTCTGCCTGGGCCACTGACGGCTGGCTGGGGGGTGTTTCCTTAGGCTTGCGAGCAATAGAAAGAAAGGGTGACACGAGGGTTGGGCTGGCCTGGCCGGGCTCTGAGCTCTAGGCGGGAGATGCTCTTCTCGTGGCCCATCTCTGCCCTTCATTTTGCTCACCCAGCAGCGTCTCATGCTCCTGGTCCCTTGGGTTGGGGGAAAACCATCACTCAAGTCAAGTGCAGTCACAGTGCCCAGCTCCTCTCAGCTGGGGCAATCCCCCAGGAGGTAACCAGGGTGGAGATATTCCGGGTCCATTTCTCTCATTTAAACATTTTGGTGGGAAGTAACAGGTGTGCCTTGGGGATTCTGACAACCTCAAAGCTGTGAAACGATGCTAAGTTGGTGCCAGGTGAGCACCATCTTTCAGACACCAAAGCTTTGGAGGGAACTGGGGGAGAAGGTGACAGCGTCTCATCTCGATGACCCGCCCACGTCCTGCCATCTCTCCTAAGCATCCACTTTTATGAAAACCCTTATTTTAAACCCTTTTGTGCCAGTGACTAACAGGCCCTAGAACAAGGCTGAGGCAAGGGAAGTGCTATAAATGGAAAAACAAATGAACAAACAAAAACACTAAACCAAAATTGCAAAGAAAAATAATAGAATGAAAACAACTATTGTAATAAATACGCCAAAGGGCAAGTCCCGGTGCTGAATTAGAGCTTTTTAATTGTGTAAGAATGTCACCAAGATAAGCAAAGCTCATGCTCAGAGGACTCATGTGAGAAAAATAGAATTACTAGGAAAACAGTCCAGTTCGCTAGAAAAAAATAAACAAACATACACAACTTGATATTGCAGAGGCTTCATGGGAACCCACAGGTATTTACTGCCAGTTGGAGTGTAAAGTTGATATAATCTTTTTGGAAGGGAGTATATGAATTCTTATCAACAGCCAGAAAACTATTCAAATATTCCGCCTCAGTAATCTCTAGGAATTAATTCAAAAGAAAAAGAGCCACACAGACAAGGATGTTTATAGTGACATAATTTCATTGCAGAGAAAAAGTGTGAAACACCTATATGTCAGCTCAGCAATGTAAGGTATGCTGTCACCTTGAATGGGATGCAGTGTGAACACAATTATTAAGTGACAAATATGACCCTGTAGAAAGGAGAATGTTAAATATAATTTTAAGCTGAACTGTAGGTCACAAAATTAGATGTATACTTTTGATTACAGCGCTTTACTGTTTATTTATATATGGATAAAGACTGGACATGAACCCCAAATTAAAACTGTATTAGATCAATAGGTTTGTGGGTGATAGTTTTTAAAAAATGAAAACAATGTTTAATTTTTCTGACTGCAAAAATGATATAGGCTCATTCTAAACATTTTTCATAAAGATAAGTATAAAGAAGGTAAAAAACTAACATGGAGAAACATTTAAATCCCATAACATTTATATTCCTCTCTGTTGTTAATAATATTGAAACCTAACTAAATGAAATATTTGACTTATTAATTATAGTGAAGGTAAAGTGAAAAAAATAATAGTAAAATCATGTTTTCAAAAAAAAGAAAAACATACAAAACAAAGGAATATTTTGACTCCTGTGTTGAGTCTCGCCTTCCTCTCCCTGACTCCACCCATCTTCCCACTTCCTGCACGAGGTTCTGAACTGCTACGCAAAGCCTTCCCATCAAATTCGGCAAAGCGAACCTGGTCCCCAGACACATCTAGTTTTACCCCTTATAATCGCTGTTTTACAAATATAGAGTTTGAGCCAAGGGGAAAGAGAACATGGGAAAGCTATAAGGCAACACAAGATACAGTTCATAGTCATTACTATATGTCATTGGGGGATTACTAAGTGCAGGCACTGTTCTAAGCACTTTCATCAATTACTCAATTGAACTATCACAGTAACACTATGAGGTGGGTACTGTTATTAACCCCATTTGAAGATGAAGACACTGAGGCACACAGAGGTTAAGTAACTTGGCAGGGTTGGGCATCCAGTAAATGGTAACAGCAAATTCAAATCTATGCCAATAGATGCAAATTAAGCCCCCTCTGACTCCAGGCAGGGGCCAAGCACTTAGTCACCCCTCAACACCATCTCCCAGTATGAGAAGAGTACTGCCCATTGGGCCCCAAGTTTAACAGTGGAGTCCCTAGGGGGTATTCCTAGAACCTGCTGAAGATCAAACTATGGACCCCAACCATTACATCCACACTGAGTAGGGGGCTCTAGGCTGGACATGATGCCCTCACACAGCTATCCCATCACCAGCTTTGTGGTCATCCAGCTGGGGGCATAATGCAAATGATGAGGAATCCTAACCTAACAAAGCCAAGTATCTTGAAGACAGAAGGGAAAAACCATGTGGAATATCACAGTGAACTGAAGGCAAAGAATGTGCTATGGTTTCAGAGGGAAGACCATCAGGGGAACCCTAAGCATGTGAACAAATGGATTTGCTGCAGAGGAGAATTTAAGTAACAGCCCTTGAGTCTCCAGCCCCACTCCATCACTATCACTTTTTTCCTTTTACTTTAGACCCCTCTTCCATGTTGTAAAGCTCCATTTTGAGGAGCAACATACGGCAACTCTACCCATCACTCTCTAAAAGTATCCTGTTCACTTGCTTATGGTCTGTCCTTCTTTCTTCCCACCACATACACACATACTCCATGAGAGCAGAAATCTTGCCTGATTTCTCTGAACACTAATAGCTCCCACAATGCCTGGCACATTGTAGGTGCTGCACCAATACTTGTTGAATTAATCAATGAGTATTTAATGGTTGGTGGCATCTGAAAAGATAGCGACATGGACACATCTGTCTTACATCTCCATCCCATTCCAAGACCCAACCAACAGAACTGTCCAAAGTCTGTAAAAACAGGTGGATATCTGTATGAGCTCTGGGCACTAGGGAAAAGTACTGTGGCATGGTCCTCAATGCATGTCTCTTAGACATAGTGCAGATCTCTCTCTATAATTTACAGTAGAAGGGTACGACCCGGCCGAGTTAAGCAACAAAGACAAGAGCTCCCAATATCTAAGACCTCAAAAATATACTATTCACATAACACTCATAAAAAGCCACTTGAAAATGTTTTCTACTGAACCAAGAGATGAATCAAAATGAAGAACTCAAGTATGGGAAAGTTACGGTTAATAAAAACAAAATAAAAAAGCGTGAGCAACAAGCAAATAAGCCATACAGTAAAGAATCTAAATAATTGCTATAACCATAGTTATAAAACAGTATGCAAGCATAGCAATGATTCTTTGGAAGAGAAGATATAAGATACCACTCCTGCCCAAACCCCAGGGTAAACTATTGCAGATTATACTGATATAAAGAGTAATGTGGGAGGAAGGAGATATGCTAATTTCCTCATCTTAGAATAAATTCTGTTACAAAGTTTCTATGGTTAATTTGAAAAATATAGGTTAAAGCATGTTTTAATTATGTGTAATTAGTAATAGGCTATAAAGTAGCTTATCTTCATAATTACCAAAGGGGAAAAAGTATAGCAGTCAATGTAGCAAAAGTTAAAAAATTAAAAAATTTAATAAAATAAAAAGGAATTCAAAGGAAACACCAAGAAAGTATAAAGAGAGGAAGTGTAAAGCAAGATGCTAAAAACAGACAAAAATGTATTTATAATAATAATAACTGTGTATAGGTTAATCTATCATAGTAAAACATAACTCTCATTTTGGGACAAGACACAAAGCTTAAATATAGTGACTCAGAATAATAAAAAATAAGGGAATGGAATGAGATAGCTCACAAATCACTTTAGGAGAATGTTAAAGTTTACTAATGCCCAGGCCATCACAGCGTCTAAAAGCTTCCTAGGTGATTTTAATGAGCAGCCAGGGTTTGAGAACTACTGGTGTAGGCAAATGCAAACTACAAAATAAAGGAGTTTTAATATACCAGACCCTTGGATAATATCAAACTCTTGGGTCATTCTTTTTTTTCAGGTTAAGAGTCCTCTGGACAGATACCAAGAAACATTTATTTTTGCACCTAGGAAGGGAGAAAGCTGATAAACTGACACGGAGAGAAAAAGAACATGGCCCTACAAAGCTGGATCTTCCATCCCAAGAGACAACTCAAACTTGTTGCAACAAGGGCAGGAGAAGGGAGTGTGCAAATTATGTTTACATGTTACATTGGAATGTTTCTGTTAGAGAACAGAGTTTACTTCTCAGTGTCATAAATAGGGAAAACAAAAAGTGTTGTGATTGGATCTCATCACCATCCATCACCCATGTTGAGAGAGGGAAATGAGGTAGCTTTCCCCTTTGGAAGTAGTCACCAGGTGGTGAAAATGGGTCTTCACCTAGGACAAACCTTTAAATTATAGGGTTCTCACATGGCTCAGAATTTTGAAAAATAATAAAGGTAGAAAACTCATTAACAAGTGCATGCACAATTGTGTATAATATCAGGTTATTATTAAATATGATCTTCAGTAGAAAAGAAAAGGAGCTTTTGAACAATCCTCTTTAACTATCATTTCTTACGGTGGTGTCACTACTAGCTTCACCACTTTCAAAATGATAATTCAATTTGTAGGAGACTGGCAAAGCAAAACAAAATCCAAAGATGATATTTGAAAAATGGATGATGCTCACATTCCAGAATAAAGATATGACAGCTATGATGAATTATGCCCAAAAGCACTGAAACAGACAAAATTAACTATTTAAAAATATATATAAGAATTGAAAAAAATATGCTCATCTAAAGCCAAAAGTAAATAAATATAGAGAGGATCTGTAAATACTATGAGCATGTGTTATATGAGATTCTTTAACTTCAAACAAGGAACATTACCTTATTTACAAGAGCCCGTGAAATATTACAGAAATGGACTTTATATTAGGCTGCAAGAAAATCTCCATAAATTCTTCCACAAAGCAAAAACTGTTGGGACACTT